CCTGTAGCTTATGCCACCTGCAGGAAGGGCGTGACCTTTCTTCGCTTCGTTGAATGATGCTGTGGTGATGAAGGAAGTCACCCCTCTCCCAGACACCTTGGTTTCCTGGGGAGTTCCTTGGGATTAACTGAATGCACAGCTCTGAAGAGTGCAGACTTGAATGACAATACACATTTGTACGTGACGGAGCTCAGTGGAGAGTTGCTGCTCTTCATCCTTTAATTGGGACATCCCTGATGAACCGAACCCAAGTGTCACTAGAGCTATCCAAACATTAGTCGGTCATCTTACTACTGGCCAAAAATTGGGCTCATCTGCATATTTTCACAAGGACTTAGATGATTGTCTAAGAGATGACCCTTTGTGGTAAAAGAACTCTGAGAATCTCTTGACTCAGAGATTATAAGAATAGAAACCAACATAACACTTGTCTGTACGTTATTAGGTCTACAATACAAAGACTCACCAGGATGCTCGTTATCTACCTTGGAGTTCTGACACTGCTCATAGTAACCCTGGCACCTCTCAGAGTATACTGTGCTGTGGTCTCCAACAAGTTTCACCTCCCTTACGGGTCTCAGCCTCATAGAGCACCATACTGGCTTATGGAAATCAGTTGAATGAGAAATGTCCTGTTTCAGTCATCAGGGGTGAATTCTAATGAGTCTGTCTTCATCTATTTTTTGCAAGACTTCAGCTTTTTTAGAATGGTTTCAGTTTTACAGAAGAATTGATCAAAATTCACATAGTTTCCATATAACCTCTCTCTCTGTATCTGCTGTTTGCACTATTTTTCACTTTTTGTATTACTGTGGTACATTTTTTTTACAATTTCTAACCCATATTGATGCATCACAGTGCTCAGTGTACATTAGCATTGACTCTGTGTTGTACAATGTGTGGGTTTTGAGAAATGTATAATAACATGGATCCATCATTTCTGTATCATAGAGTGTGGTTTCACTTCCCTAAAAATCCCCTGTGCTCCACCTATTGATTCATCCCTCCCTCCAGCCCCCAAGTTCTTCACAACCAAAGATCTTCCTACTGGCTCATGCTTTTGTCTTTTCCAAGATGTCATATACTTGGAATCATACACTACATAGCCTTGTCACATTGGCTTCTTTCCCTTAACAATATCCTTTTAAGGTGCGTCTGTGTGTTTTCACGGCTTGATACCTCATTTCTTTTTATCACTGAACAGTGTTTCATTGTATGGATACACCACTGATTGTTGATTATTCAACACTTGAAGGACATCGTGTTTAGAACTCTGTCATGCCAATTATGAATAAAGTGCTTGTAAACATTCATGTGTAGGTTTTGTGTGAGCATAAGGTTTCAACTGATTTGGAAAATACCAGGGAGCCTTAATGCTGGATCTTACTCTATTTAGCAACAGTGTATTTTGTTTAGAAAGAAACTTCCTGTCTTCCATTGTAGGTGTACCAAATTCTATTTCCACCATCAATGAATGAGGATTACCTGTAGCTTCACATCTTCACCAACAGTTGGTGTTCTGAGTGTTTTGTATTTTAGGCATTTAATAAGTGTTTAATGATTCCTCATTTTTGTTTTATTTGCAATTTTCTAATGATATTTGATGTGGAGCATGTGTTCATATTGCTTATTTCCCATCTATATATCTTCTTCAGTGAGCTGTCTGTTCAGATCTTTTGCCCATTTTCTAATTGTGTTGTTTGTCTTCTGACTGTTGAGTTTTAAGAGTTCTTTGGATAGTTCTTTTTTTTTTTTTTAAGATTTTTAAAATTTATTTATTTTCCCCCACAGCCCCAGTAGATAGTTGTATGTCATAGCTGCACATCCCTCCAGCCGCTGCATGTGGGACGCGGCCTCAGCATGTCCGGAGAAGCGGTGCGTCGGTGCGCCCCCGGGATCCGAACCTGGGCCGCCAGCAGCGGAGCATGCGCACTTAACCGCCAAGCCACGGGGCCGGCCCTGGATATTTCTAATACCACTTATTTACCAGACAAGCGTTTTACAAAGATTTTCTTTTATTCTGTAAGTTATGTTTTTATTATCTTAACACTTTCTCAGAGCAGGAGTTTTTCATTTTACCGAAGTAAAGTTTTTGTGTTTTTTTTGATGGACCTTGGTTTTTGGTTTTCTATCTAAAAATTCATCTCCAAACCTAAAGTCATCTAGATTTTTCTCTCTTATCTTCTAGGAGCTTATTCCTTTGGCATTTAATTACATTGAGATCTGTGACGTGTTTTGACTCAATTTTTGTGAAAGGTGTATGGCCCGTGTCTACATTCAATGTGTGTGTGTGTGTATTTGCATGTGGATATCCATTATTTCCACCACTATTGGTTTAAAAAAAATTTCTTGTTCATTTGCATTGCCTTTGTTTCTTTGTGAAAGATCGCTTGAGTATATTTGTGTGGGTCTATAAGGAAAGCAATTAACTCACATCTCCTTCAGCCTTGCTGTCCTCTCTTATTAATTGTACGAGTTATTTCTGTTGTTGTGAATTCTTTCAGATGTCTCACAATCATGCCATATGGAAGAAATGTTATGAATTTAGCTACAGAATTCATGAAGATCTTCCATCTCAAAAAGTGGAAGTTCCCCTCTATTACTAGTTTATCATAAATGAATGTTGGATTTTATCAAATCCTCTTTTATTTCATTTCCTCTTGCTTTCCTTTTTTATATTAGTAATATCTGTCTTCCCTGTTTTCTTTGTTTTCTTGACTGTTTATCAATTTTATTAGTCTTGTCTAAGTACCAGCTTTTTTTGTTTTCATTTTCTCCATTGATTTCCCACAATGACATAGATTTCTTTTCTAATTTTTACTATTTCTTTTACTGTGCTTACTTTGGATTTACTTGGCTCTTCCTTTTATTGTTTCCTAAGGTAGATGCTTACTTTAATGATTATAGATCTTTGCTTTTTCCATTGTGTTTGTTCAGTGGCATACATTTCCCTCTAGACACTGCTTTTGCTGCATACAAGAATCTTTTGTACGTTGTATTTTCATTTCATTTAGTTCAAAATAAATTTTCATTTCTTTTGAGACTTCTTTGATCTTAAGTATTATTTAGAAATGTATTGTTGAATGTTCACATATTTGGGGGTTTTCCAGCTTTGTTGTTATTGACCTCTCTGTGAATGCCTAGGTGATGTGAGAAGATATTTTGTATGATTTCTGTTCTTTCAAATTTGATAAGATTGTCCTTTTTTTCCCAGAGGTTGTTGAATTCTCCAACTATTGAACTGGATTCATCTATTTCTCCTTGCCTTATATATTTTACCGCTCTGTTGTTACGCATGTACACATCAAGGATGGCTGTGCCTTCTTGGAGAATAGACACCTTTATCAGTATGTAATGTCCCTCTCTATCTCTGAAATTTCCTTGGCTTGAAATCTGCAGTGTCTATAATTCATAGACCTATGCCAGCTTTCTTTTGATCTGTGCTGGCATGGGATATTTTTCTCCATCCATGTACACTGCATCAGTCTGTGTCTTTATATTGGAAGGGGTTTCTTGTAGACAGTATATAACTCAGTTGTTTTTGAAAAATCTGATATT